ATTTTTTTATTTTATTTTTATTGTATTCACTCATTTCCCTAAGGTCCACTTAGAGTGTTGGTAAAGTTTCATAACTTTTTTTTTTTTTTCATAGGTTTTGAGCTGTATTTATATATTTAAGTATTTTAAACATTTTTTAGTTTAGTTTACTGTAGTTCAGTTTATTTCCCTGAGGTCCACGTATAAAGTTTCATAACCTTCATTAAAGCTTTTAGCTGTATTTATATATCTTAAATATGTCTCCATCATCTGCCTCGTGTCCCTCAGATTGCCAGAGATGTGGACGGTTCGGGGAATTACTTCATGCTGCTGAACAAACACGTGGCTCAGGTTCACCGTCTGTCGGGTTACGGAGCAAAAGCTCATAAACTGGGTCTGCCGGAGTGGGTTCTGTTCCACGAGTACAACCTCTCCGACAACAACTGCATCCGCACCGTCACACAGATCTCACCGCAGGCGTAAGTGTGTGTCCTCCTCATATCTCCAGCACATGAACAGCTCCTGCTTTAGCACTGACTCTGACAAACATGATCATGCCACGTCATCCGGAGTCATCATGTTTTTTGATGTGTCATCATTAGTAATCTGCTCTTACAATAGAGAGCTTTTCAGATACACATGAGGATTGAAGCAGATCTGCTGCTCACTTTTGCTATTCTTACATTTATTTAGCAGATGTAAACATTATGAACATCCTGGAAATAATTATAAATGATACAATTCTGGTAATGGCCTAAAAACAAGCCTTTTACTTAATGAATTCTGCAACATTGTGAACATTGATTAATATAAATATATATATATATGCAAAGATAAACTTTTAAACTGTAGTTTGCTTCACTGCTCAAGTTGTTTAAATCAGCAATTGTGTCCAGTTTTTTTTTTTTTTGGTAGTTTTAAAAAGTTTGTTCAATTTAATCAAAAATATTAATGAAATTATCTGTTCAAAAGTAGGGTCAGTAAGGTATATTTATTTTTACATATATAAAAAAAAGAAGAAAATCACATAAAAAGCAAAATTATATATATATTACTCATTTCTCTGACATCCACTTATTTTAGTAAAGTTTCATAACCATTTTTTTCACAAGTTTTGAGCTCTGTATTTATTTATTTAAAAATGATTATAAAGTATTTAATAATTCATTCATTATTTTTTTAATTAAATCATTGTATTTATTTAACAAAAAATGTAAAAAAAAAAAAAAAAAACTTTTTAATATATTTATTTTGATTATTTCAAATGTTTTGGTTTATTAAAACAGTTTGTTCTTGACAATTCAATCAAAACTTTTTATGAAAATGTAAAAATTGCAGTAATGTATGCTTCTGGTCAAATGTTTGGTGTCAGTAAGATTTTTTTTGAGAAGTTTTAAAGATGTCTCTTCTGCTCACCAAGGCTGCATTTATTTGATCAAATACAGTAAAAACAGTAATATTGTGAAATGTTATTACAATTTAAAATAACTGTTTTCTATGTGAATATATATTAAAAGGTAATTTATTCCTGTCATGCAAAGCTGAATATTCAGCATCATTACTCCAGTCTTCAGTGTCACATGATCCTTCAGAAATCATTCTAATACGCTGATATGAGCTTAAGAAACATTTCTGATTATTGTTAATGTTGAAAACAGTCGTGCTGCTTAATATTTGTGTAGAAATTGAAATTTTTTTCTTTTTTGGAATTTTTAAGAAAAAAAAAACATTTGAAATAGAACCATTATAAATGTCTTTACTGTCACTTTTGATCAATTTATTGCATCCTTGCAGAATAAAAGTATTTGTTTATGGTCTAAGTCTTGTTCCCTTCTGTTTCAGGTTCCTGCTGAATTTTCAGCATCATTACTCCAGTCTTCAGTGTCACATGATCCTTCAGAAATCATTCTAATACGCTGATATGAGCTTAAGAAACATTTCTGATTATTGTTAATGTTGAAAACAGTCGTGCTGCTTAATATTTGTGTAGAAATTGAATTTTTTTTCTTTTTTGGAATTTTTAAGAAAAAAAAAACATTTGAAATAGAACCATTATAAATGTCTTTACTGTCACGTTTGATCAATTTATTGCATCCTTGCAGAATAAAAGTATTTGTTTATGGTCTAAGTCTTGTTCCCTTCTGTTTCAGGTTCCTTCAAATGGTGCCGCAGTATTTTTTCTGTAATCTGCCACCTAGTGAGAGTACAGAGATCCTGCAGCACATTCTGGACAGAGACAGGACGGGGAATGCAAGAACAAAACCTCAACCAGCCGCGATAGAAACAAAGACAGAAGAGGCCGAATCACATGACCGATGTGTCGTACAGTGAACCTCATGAAATCATTGTGTAAATAGTGTTCAAATGTTTTGTATTGTTAACGCTTGAAAAGATACTCAAAGAATCCTGTTTGGGTCGTTTATTTTGTGGGTAATTTCATCTGATTATGTACAGAAATAAATTATTTCACTGGTTTTGAGTGATTTGGTGTTTTTGGAACTGTTTTGTGGCCAGTTTATACATTATGCCTTAAACTCAAGGCCTGGGGCATTAAACATTTTTTTTTTCTTGAACAAGAAGAGCAGAGTTCAGTGTTGGACGCTTCAGACGGTCAGATATTCAGTCATTTTATCCATGACAGCTCCCATCCTGTCCGCCGGGATCACCATCACTGTGCGGTACGGTTTCATCGGTACGTCATCGTAAGACCACTTTCCCGTCGCACAGGAATCAGCCTCGTCCTGAACGCAGTAGCTGAACTTCAATGTGGCTTGCTGTGAAACAAAGAAAATGTTTACGAGCGTGTTGTCGAGATAAGAAAAAAAAATGTTATGCATTCGACACTAAATTCAGGGTTCATATGATCAAAATGGACCATTGCAATTAATAAAATCATGGAAATTTCTCTAAATATTTTTCCAGTAATGTTTGACTCTGAAATATTTAATTGGCTAGAAACTTTGCGACTGCAACCTCTATAATTGT